CACCTGTGCTCCTTCATTTCCCTCCTATCTGAGCCTTTCCCCCAGTGTCAGCCTGGCAGAGTTGCCAATAAAAGAACAACCTTCACCTAGTGTGGGGCAGGAGAGGAGAGGTATATTTTTGGAGCTCTGCAGCTACCAGTAAGCTGAGAAGTGCAGCAGCCAAAAGAAAGAAGGTGTTTTTCCTTCAGAGGGAGTGAATGGTCCAGAGGAAAAAAAGTATAGAGGCCCAGCAAGGAAAAGCACAAGTTGGAAAGGTGCAAGAGCTCTACATGCTGGCTGTTAAAAGCAACAACAGAGAGGAAAAAGTAGAAGAAATCCCAGAGAGAGGAGAAAAGACAGGACAGTCTTTGTAAAAAGAAAATATTGATGTATAGTAGATAGCAGTCAGGAACAACATTGCAGAGTATAGAGTATAATATAGAGGAATTAGAGGGTTATCTAGTCTAATTAGTGGATTATCCAATCGAGTTATATAAACAGTCAACCTAGAACCCTCCAGATACTTTGGGTTCAACAACTCAGTACCCATCTTGGAATTATTGGAGCTGAAGGGCATCACACTGGGGAGAGTTGTCCTTTTTGTACCATCTTTATTCTATAAATCTGAGGAGTAGTGCTTGAGCATCAAAAATTAATGGTCACATCTTCTCATGGTGGATATAGGTATTGTGTTTTTTGATGACAACTTTTAACAAGTTTATTTCATTACATAAGAAAGTATATGCTGCCCTTAAAAATAAAATTTTCTAAGGGCGGATACAAGCATAAAAATCTAGATAGATAGATAGATAGATAGATAGATAGATAGATAGATAGATAGATATTAAATTAACAAATGTAGATAAGAGTGTAAAAGAAGCAACACCATTGAAACAACTACTATACAGCAACAGTATAATGTGAAGTATACAGTATATCATAACAGCTTGCTGTTAAACTTTTTTTGTACTGCTATTACAAAATATTTCTGTTTAATGTACTGTATATAGCTACATAGTTTTATTCATTTTTTTCTCACCCAAAAAGTTTAGCAGGGTATATTCCTGTTTTCTCTGGTTTTGACTTCATTTCATTAAGTGCTGATGACAAATTTGATTAGCAGAATTCCAGAATTAAAGGTGACTATTAAAGTTGGATTCAGTCCATTCAAATAAATTACTTAAATGAATATCAGTTTACCATAGTTAGGAAATAGTCAAAGTCAAATAAGAAGGTTGATGTTCTCTGTTGGCATTTTGAAGTTTTTCTGACCATACTCAGAAATCTAAATGTATATGTACATATTATGTTTATTTAGTAAAATGGACACAATTAAATCAGTAAACAATTTCTGTCGTCTTTCTCTAAACTGGTTATAACAGTGTTCATAATAATACAGTAATTGGTAGGAAATAAGTAGCTCCCAAATAGCATATATCCTTTCTCTCTTATACCATGCACCAAGACACGTTCATTAAAACCGATATAATTTATCATCACTGGGACATTCTCACACCAGTAAATCTAGTTTAATACATTTTCCAGTGGATAAGTATTCAGGTTATAACTACTGTCTGTGTTCCTTTTTTGTATGAACTTGATGTGCATGTGTCTATGCATGTCTGTTTTATTTTATTTTATGTTTTAGAATTGCTAGGCACTCTATAACTTGACTATTATAGACTTATTTACACTTCAGAAGGTCTACAGGCTGCACTCTCTCTTTCTGGGCTTCCCAAGGGTGTATGGTTGGCTGCTGCAAGAAGAAGGATGCTGTTCTAGGTAGAAGGGCCCTTGTGTTATTTCTCTGTATGTTCAGGGAATTTATAAACACCCTAATCTCTAATGTCACAAAACGGCTCTTTGAAGATTCATATTTTTCTCACCTTTATTTCACCTTCTGATTTTTGAAATTTGACTACACTTGCCATTAGACTTACACATGTTCCCTGGGTAGAATTAAAGTTGCATTTTTGAGGAACACGAATGAGAATGGTAAAATAGTAGTATCTGGGAAAAGGTAGGTCAGCTTGTTTTCTAACTTAACCTTGGATTACTTGTTTCTCCTTGCTTCTTCAAAGGGATCTTAAATTGGTGCCTGAAAAATACTAATTTAGTGATCAAACTGTTTGTTACTGGTAAATTTAATTTTGTTCCCCATTTTTTTCCTATTTCAGACTTGTTGATGATCGATGTGTTGTACAACCAGAAACAGGTGATCTTAACAGTCCTCCTAAAAAATTCAGAGGTAAGACATGTTTTAGATTCCTCAGTTTAAGCATTCAGATGGTATTTCTCTGCAGGCAGATTTAAAAAAAAAATTAACAGTTTTACTGAGTTTGTGTTGGAGAATGTAAAGGTTTTCATGGAGTCTTTAAAGCCTTTATCATCACATGTATTGCAGAGTTTTGCCAGTTACAGGAAACATTGTACATTTGTTTTCCTTTTTACTTCACTGACTTACCTATGCTGACAGCTATCCTAATGGCCTTTCCCCACCACTGAGTTAAAGTGGTATCCATCATCCTTGAGTCATTCATGTACTGGAAAGTCTATTACACTGTCCAGTTTCTTCTTAAAAACCTCCAGAGATGGAGAACCCACAACTTCCCTAGATAGGCTGTTCCACTGTTGTAAATATCTTATTGTCAGAAAGCGTTTCCTTACATTTAAATAAAACGTCGGTAGCTGCAAGCTACACCCATTATTTCTGGTTTTAGTTTCCTCAGCAGTGGAAAATAGTTCCTATCTTCTCCATAGCATCCTTTAATGTACCTGAATGCTGATATCATGTCTCCCCTTAATCTTCTTTCCTTCAGACTGTCCTTATAGAGCATGTCCTCAGGTCCCTGTATCGTCATTGTTGCCATCCTCTGAATCTGCTCTAATTTGTCACTCTTTCTGGAAATGTGGTGTCCAGAGTGATACATGAGCACCTGACCACCACATCAGAATAGGAATGGATCTGATTTAGCTTCAGCTTCCTTTCTAGGATCCTTCCTTTTATACACCATTCTGTCATAATTCAAACTGGATAAAATTTTTTAAAAATCAGTCATGAGGGGAGCTGAGTCACAAGCAGCACTTTTATTTAGCATTTTTCTCCTTTCCCTTCCCTTTTCTTTATATTTAACTACTATCACTGGTATTTCATCTGTGCTTGGTGCCTTTCTGCTTGACAGGTGGTTTATTGGTTCTTGTTCCCCACTGTCTAATGGAGTTAGTTCCTGAAAATATTTTCTCTCTACAAATATTTCTTTTATTCTGTAATTCCATTTGTAGATGGCTTCAGTATTCCTATAGCTTTTTCGTGTTCTTGCCTCTTTCAGATTTCTTCAAGTACTACTCTTGAACAGTCTTAATGTCTTTGTGATTTTCCTTTTCTTGATATTTTTCTCTGTTAATTGACATTCTTAATTAAGATAGTATACCTTGTCCTTTTTTACTGGAAGTTGAAAGTCTACATTCAGTTGTTATACTTCCTGTTTGCTTATGGCTTTCATCCTCTGTCTTTTCTTGATTTTCAAGCCATTTGGATCTTTTCTTTTTTGACCAGTTTTTTCTGCTTGATTTATCTCTTACCTCTTCACCTGGCTCCTCAGCTTTTCTTTTGCATAAGTTAAAAGTACTGATTCTGTACCTTATATTAACCTTAAACTCTGACAGTATGTCTTCCAGGTAAAATTTTGCTGATGTACCAATTTTCTTTTTTAAATGTAACTCCTGTATATGATGCCAGTAATTCATGGTTTGTTTTACAATCTGCACCTGGAAGTGTTTTGGTTGGCTGGATAGCTCTTCCCCCACTTTTTGTTTCATATTATATAGACAATTTGATTCCAATGTTGTCCATATGGTAATCTCCAGGCATACAGTATGGATTTACATTCCTTGAAGCAGATAATGACAATGAACAAAGAATTCTCTTTACAAATGTTTATTAACCCTGCATAATTGTGTTTACCCAAACCATTTTTTTCTGTGATTCCAGGTTCCCCTCTTTCTTCAATTTTAATGTTCCAAATACTATATCTTTTTAGATAATGTGTTTAGCAACTCTTGAAACTTGCTGTTGATTGATTGATTATGTGCCATCACATCATTTTCGACGCCTAGTGACTGCATAGATAGGTTTTCTCCATGACGATCTATCCCTGACGTGTTCTTTCAAGTCTCCCAATGGTGCACTCATTGCCACTGTAACTGTCCATCCACCTTGCTGCTGCCTGTCCTCTTCTTCTCTTTCCTTCCACCTTTCCTAGAATTCCTCAGTGTTGGCTACATTTGCATTTTCAGTAAAGTCATAGAAATTAAATTATTCTGATAGTAATCATTGTGTGGTTTGTTGGATTATAACCAAGAACATATCTCTTTGCAATAAGTGTAAAGCTTCTTTGCAACAATATAAGGATCTCTTTTGCAGGAAGAATGTTCTGCATTTGTTTATTCTGTTGTCCTCCAGAGCCTATGTAATTGATTGTATTGTTACTATAATTAAGTTTTTAATCCTATTATAGAACGTAAATCACTCAGAATCAGATAACGATTGGAGAAACATATGAACTTAAATAAATAAATATTACCATTTCAACAGCAGAAAAAAATAGAAATGACAAATAGAAACCACACATTGTATAGTCAGTGAAAGAAAATAATGAAAATAGTTTTGAAGAATAACAGCATTATCAGAAGCTTCACTAAGAAAGGAATGACAGGTTGATTAGCTCTTCCTTGGTTCTGTGAGTCATGCTTGCATGGTCATTCTTAGTAGGCAGTGTGGTTTATATGTCTAATTCTGATAAGAAATGATGAGACTTGGCATACTAAATAATTACGGAAGCCCTGAATGTGTGATTTTCATACCAGTATATCATTACTGCTTTACATTTACCTCCTGCCTTTCTTTCCATACAAAGTAATGAAGGTCTCTCATATTTTGAGTTTGATTCCTGGTGATTTCATGGAAATGTTCATGCAGTTTATTTGGCAGAAATAAGATAGGAATTTGTTGTTATTGCCTTCTGAAATACTGTTCTGATGGTCTATCCTACAGTCCTGGGAAAATTTAGTGATCCCCATCTAAGTATTAATTAAGTTTGATTCCGTTTAACTTTTTGAGATCAGCCAAAGTCAGCTGCTACCTATTGAGACTTTCATTCAGACTTTGTAGCTAAGCATACATTAAAATTTATTACAGGTTGTAGAAGAATCCACATCCAAATTATGAAGATTCACATGATATAGATAAAATCCAGCTTGTAGTATTCTATATTATGAATAGACAGTGGTAGTATGAAGTTGCATTGAATATTTTTTAATCACTGAAGACTGCAGTAAGTAGGACAATTATTTGAAGTTTGAGTATTATGTGGTGAGGACACAGTGGGCAGAACTGTGTCATGGAAATGGATGAAGTTTTTTTGGGAAATATTTTGAGATTGATTTTTTTTAAAAAAATGCATACTTGTGTTTCCCACTGGGAAAAAAGAAATTATGCCATTTAAATTTGATCCCAGCCAGCACTCTTTGGAAAGAGGAGAGGCAGTTGGGAGCTCATGACCAGAGCAGGTAAACAGGAGGGCAGACCTAAACAGAACAGTTTTGCAGGGGAAGATAGCAGGAGGAGAGATACACTGACTGCCCATCTCACCAAGCATCAAGTTTAGCTACCAGGTATATTGTATAAAGTATAATGTAGAAACTGTCCCTTGAACCCAATCCTAAAGAAGAACAACACACATTTACAGTGGTACCTCGGGATACGAACTTAATCCGTTCCGTGACTCTGGGCGTATCC